AGCTCATTGCAGATGGTGCAGATCTTCCATTTCTGAGTGTACGATGTGCCTATGACAGAGTTGCCCTTCTTGGAAGTAACAAATGGCACTGTAGTAGCTGCTGCCTGAACTCGAGAGTTCAGTTGAGGGATCTTTAGTATGGAAGTGGATGATGATCCAGAAACTGAACTACGAAGACTAGCAGAAAGCTGCAATTTGCTTGTTTGAGACTGCTGTGGGACTGAAAGCTGCACCTGTTGTCCTCCAATGGTCAAGGATTGTGTAGTCCCTGGCTTCAGACCAAATGCCCCCTGCTTCAGGTGAACACCTGACAGGAGCCCACTTGAATTCAAACTCCCTTTAGGAATAACAATTCGACTCAGCTGCTGAGCAGATAAAGGCCGTACTCCAGTAACTACTGTACCCTTTGGCATTACACCAATGATGCCCTTATCACCCTGAGCTTTAGTGGACACCATAATCACAGGCTTCGCCCGAGGTACCACAACATTGGTGTGTCCAATCATAGCAGTAACTTGATAACCAATGCGCTCATGGTCCTCAATGACATGCTGCACAAGGGCTTCATAGGTACGAGGTACAAAGAGGCACCGTTTGCAGTGGATGGTTGTGCTCGTACTGATGGTACCACAAGAATCAGTACTGCTTCCTGTACCAGAGCCTGCCGTTGTCCCATTGGCTGGTGTTGTCTTCTCACCAGGCCTCACTAAGTATGGTGCCGCTACGTGCTGGAAATGTTCCCGGTAGATATGCTTTCGCACCACATTATATAGTGGATCCCTGTAAGTGCATTTCTTGCAGTAGTACACTGCTTGCTCTATATTATCACGTGTCTTATCCAAGCGAGCACCATCCTTCAAGCCAACCCCTGCCCCCTGAAGTCCTCCAGTATTGTGACGCACAACATTGTTGGGCATATGAAAGAGTCTGATGTGTGTCTCCAAAGTCTTTTTGTTCCCATTGTAAGTGCAATAGGGGCAGTTAAGGAGAATGCGGTTTTCAAAGTCCTCGCTGTGCACATTACGAAAGTGACTCTTGTAGGCGGAGAAAAACTTGGAGGAGAATGTACATCCTGAACAACAGAATGGCTTTGAGCGGTACTCCTAAAAAGACAGAGGAAATATGGGTAAAGAAATATGGAGATGTGTTTAAAAATCAGACAGAAGATTATTAAAAAAATGTTTCTCCTTTCCTTTAGTAAGACTTAAGTTACTACTCACTTGTGATTTGGTCATTGAGGGATCCCACATGCACACATCATCCCATGTGGTGTTCTTAATGTAGAACTCATTGGGAACAAAGTCCTTATAGTCCTGGAGGAGAAAAAGAAAAGTATAGAGTGAAAAAGACAGTGCAAGGTTGTCGCAATACAATAAAGATTAAGACCATATAAAAATTTTTTTTAGAATTTTTAAAAAAAATGCTTTGCATATGTAATTCAGTGTAAAGGTGTGGAAACGAATGAAGACTGAAAATAAACTATTGAATTGTTTTGCACTGAATCAATAAATCAAACAGTTCACACAAACCGATTAGCTGAAAAAATTAAAAACTTCCTAACTCTGCCTACAGTCTTGCTACTTGAGGTTTCAATCAGAGATGTTAATAAAATAGCTCTTTCTTAAAGATCACAAGCAAGCAACTAGATACCTGGCATGGTCTTTAGGAAATTTAATGGCCAAAATGTGCATTACAAATCACGGTGATATTCACAATGTTGCTCAATTTGATCAATAACAAAACGTAAAATACAGCCAACAAATACAACAAATATTTAACATCCACACAGATTTTCCTTTGTGGTGTTATGTCTCCATAAAATTGGAAACAATGGAACTAGTGGCAGATGCAGTAATTTTGTCAGTAGTGAATTTATGAACAAAAGTAGTGAATTTATTCAAAAACAAGAGAGGCGGCTTTATTTCTGGCAATCTCAAATACAAAAAGTTTACATGGGCCTATTTATAATCTAAAGAAACAGCACCATATGTTATTGCTTTTGCAAAAAAAAAAAAAAAAACTGTTAAGATTCAAGGTTAGAAGATGAATGGTAAAAGCATACCAACAAGCTGATTGGCCACATATTTCACAGCTACACAGCTAATGGTTACACTGTGACAAAGAACGTAACGTGGAAACGCTAAATCATTTGGAGCTGTCTTAAAGAGATAGTTCACCCAAAAATGAAAATTACCCCATGATTTATTCACCCTCAAGCCATCCTAAGTGTATATGACTTTCTTCTTTCAGACGAATAAATTGGAGTTATATAAAAAAATGTCCTGGCTCTTCCAAGCTTTATAATAGAAGTGAATAGTGAATAGTACTATTCAAGGGAGGGGGGAGATTAAACTGAAAGGATGAACGCGAAAGCGCAGAGAAGAGAGCAAAACAAAACACCAGTAATGAATTAGAAGTACAAAACAAGGATTTGTTAAGTCAGAAAAAATGTCGGAGGATTTAGATGTATGCCAAGAGAAGACTGGTTTTACTTTGCTTGAAACAAAACTTGGTTCTAGCAAAACTAGCATATTCTCGTCCTATGTCATCTGCTGGACGCCACTCTCTCGTGGACAGTTAGCGGAAGCTAGAGATTACAGTTTATAAAGTTTTAAATATGGATATTATTCTTACACAAATGCATTGATTCACTTCAGAAGGCCTTCATTAACCCCCCTGTGGAGTCACTTTTTATGATTGATTTATGCACTTTATTTTGCTTCAAAATCTCGACCATTATTCACTGCCATTATAAAGCTTGGAAGAGCCAGGACATTTTTTAATATAACTCCAATTGTATTCGTCTGAAAGAAGAAAGTCATATACACATACCTGGAAACTCACAAGAGGTCAAAAAGGTGACATAGTTCGTAATATGACCCTTGTAGGGTGGTCTGGGGGCATCCACCCCCCCCACCCCCAACCCCCAGAAGAAATGTTCTGGTGCACTCTGACAACAAAATAAATAAAAAGACAACATATGCTTCAAGTAAAAAAACATTTATACCACAAACTTTTTGGACAGTGTAACTCTGTTGTCATCGGTGTTCATACTTCTCTTTGTGAGCAGTGGAGTAATTTATTTTTGCAAATTTTAATGTTCACATTAGAGTGAGCATACTATCAACAAACTCCTTCTTTTCACTGCAGAGGAAACAATAGCTGCATCTGAAGTGGCATTAGATGTATTTACACAGACTGTTTAATGAAGCTGAGGTGCCATAAATGCATTTACACCACAAAATTTCAAATGCATAAATAATTATATTAAATTAATGTTTTAAATATTTTTGAACATACAAATTAAAAATGTTGAAATATGAAACCAAACCACCAGTAGATGACGGTAAATTACTGTTTTAATGAGCGAGTCATTCATTCAAAAATGAGGCAAGTGACTACTGTCTTTATGAATGGGTTACTGAATCATTGACTCACTTGATTCGTTCAAAAACTTGGATTCATTCAGTATCGAAACACCGCTGTGTTGCTCGGAGACACAAAACAGTTCTGCTGTGACTTTGATTGAAACTTCGTCAGCGAACTTGAGCAAAAACAGTCAATATTGTATTACAAATTGCGAACTTTGTTTCTGTTTAACTCACAATGAAGAACTTCCACGCCGACGACATTTTTACATCAAGCGGCAACCTCCCGCTCTCTCTCGTGAAGCCAACAAGGAATATGTTTTTAGACAGTCTATGGTTTACATGCGGATGTGAGCATAAGTGTGCCGTCGAAACGGACCGGCTGTGAGATGAGGTGTGTTCGATTTGAAGCAGCAGCGCGCAGACCGACTGGACATCAAAGTACCGCGAGAGCGATTCGAAAGCATGCGGAGCCATCTGCTCACTGTAGCTCTCACGGTGCTTTGATGTCATACAGCGATCGGTCTGCGCATTGCTGCTTCAAGTCGAACCGAGAAAGGGACTTTGGTCGAACACACTCCTCCCGTCTACGAGCTTGCA